CACAACCACAACCACAGCCACCATTAGCACAGATCCGAAAAATTGCAGAAATTTCTGGTTTCGAGAGAAAGGAAAGAGAAGGAGGAGGAGGAAGAAGAAGAGGAGGAGGAGATGTTATCTCCTCTCACATGTCGTGCTGTTGCTCGATCGAAGTCGTGGAACAACACCAACACTGTATGTACTCGGTGACCGGCCCTTCCACTGCGCCCGAGGCGCATCCCGTGCACCCGATGCACCCCCTTTTACGCACTTATACCGTACTTGCTTCCAGGTATAACCATGCGCACTGCACGAAAAACGAAAGAGGCCGGCGGGATCGTGGAAGGAAGGAAGGAAGAAAGGAAGGAAGGAAGGACGGAAGGAAGGAAGGAAGGAAGGAAGGAAGGAAGGTGAGAGGGCTTATTCGTGTATCGAACATTCGCGTCACGTTCGTAGGAAGCCGGCGGTCACAAAAAGGTTACGAGCCAATGGCGGCCAATGGGCGTTCACGCGACGATTCTCTCCTCCAAATCCATCTATCCATCGAGGGATACATCTCTACGAATATTCTTTATTGTTCTTAAGATTCTTCAACGAAATGTTCAAATCTTCAAATTTCGACCTCTCGTCGAAAGATTAAAGGTGGATCGATTCGAGTTTGCGTGACTATTTTTAAATGTTGAATAAAACTTGATCTATGTTTACAGGTTTGGTTTACACGCTACGAGCAGAGATATAGGAGAGAATAATTCATATTCAATTCATCCTCATTCGAACTAGATTTCACTAGAGTTAAATAATAACTAATAATAATAATAATAATAAATAATAATAACTAGAGTTAAATAAAAATACGACAATATATATGTTTAACAATTTGATATTCGCGCTCGCCGATTACTCTTAATTAACTCTCGTATTTTGCTCGTTCGAATCGAAATAGAATCTAAGTAACGAGAGAGCGAGAGAGAGCGAGCGAGCGAGCGAACGAGAGAGAGAGAGAGAGAGGGAAGAATATGGCCGCGGACGAAAACGTCGTTGTCTCGTAAAACGTTTGATTTGCGTCGCGATATAAATTACGCGATAAGAGTGTAAAATCGCGATTGCCTCATACGCGTTATAAACCTGTTGTCATCCACGATCTTCCATGCAAATCGTCCCGTCTTATTGCCTCTGATATCCACGCGGCGAGGGAATAGAGGATACGCGATGCGAGCGTATCCTTGCGCTCACATTGTGCGCGAAACGCGACGATGCACGGCCACTTTACCGACGCAAAATGGCGACTTTACCACCGCGGCCGACGCTAAAAAAGAAAGAAAAAAAAAACTATTCCCCCTCCCCTCTTTTTTCCAATCCCAGATAAGAAACAACGTGCAACGCTTCTTCTTGAAACCTTCTCCTTCCACTCGCGCCAATTGGTTAGAAGTTTTGGTATCCTCATTTCTTCAAATTTTCCCTCGCGCGGAAAGGCGATAAGATTTTCGCTTCGAGATTTGTGCCGTTCGAGGCGGGTGAAAAGTGAAAGCAAGAATAATCTCATTGTCCCGCGGATACGGATTCCGTTTCTTCGAAAGGGATATATAAAAACCCAGGTCTAAATTGAAAACATAACCTACTTTCACTTCTGAGGAGGGAGGGAAGGAGCTTCGGCTGCGCACCACAGAAACAAGGAAGAGAGAGAGAGAGAATAAGGGGAGGGCAACCCTTGGAAGAAGGTCGAGGAGAAAGTTTGCATAGTCGTGGAAAACACGTTGACGACGCGTGGTAATGGAAAATAAGATTTTCCTGGAAATCTGCGCGCGTGATTTGCGACTCTCTTGCCGCGCGTCGGTTGGCTCTCTTTTACGGCTCTCGGCTAGATTCCAATATTTCCACGGCCTTGATTTACGTACGGATTCCTCCTCACTTTGGTGAAATTATATACCCGAAGAATATACGATTCGGAGGACAAGAATCGGGATAGAGAATAATTTATCGATCGAGTAATTAAAAGTTTTTCCACAATGGAAAAATTTACAAGGAATAACAGGTGGCGGAGGGAGGGAATAATTGTTGAACGGGGACAAAAGTGGGGAAGCAGGCATTCTGCAGCGTTTAATTTAAAGCTTTTAAAAACGTCGTTTAAACACGGGTGCAGGTTTACATCGACAAATGACGAGCCGTTTTTATCGTTCGACTTTATCTATATTCTTTTTCTTCTTCTTCTTTTCCATTTTTTTTTTTTTTATTATTCGAATTTATCCGGATTTAAACGAGTCGAATTTCCATGCAAATTGGACAAAGGAGATAAGGAACGGTAAATTACGGTGGTGAATTCGTAGTTAAACACTCGTGGGCGTTATTTATTATCCCTGGATCAACAAAATCCGCTTCGATTCAATGCGCTCCTTCGAAACAATCGTCGTGTTATTCCCTGTTAACAAGCTACCGTTTCGAAAATTTTATTTTGTTCTGCAAAAAGAAAAAAAAAGAGAAAATACGCGTTTATTTTTTAAAAATAACCCGTGGATTCTAATTTACTGGATTTTTTCTCGTTTCTTTTTTTTTTTTTTCACCTAAATATTCCTCCCAATAAGAATAGAACACGATAATATCGATGTTTGTTCGTAAATTTTGCTTAGAAATAATAAGGGATAGATGGATTTTTATTAAAAAATTATTCGTCAATTTATGTTCATTTATTGAAATATAAAATAATCGAATAATATTTATCTCTCATAAGAAAAATTATTGAAGATTATTGATCGATAAAACCAAATATAACTCGATAAAAATCTTACGATTAATATTTTTCGAATAAAAACTATATCGAAATAACGCCATTTATTTATTCCCCTGAAAGAAACACGACCTTCGTACCTTCCTTTCTTCCAACGAGATATAAAACAATTCGTACAATTATTAGTGGACACAGTAATAATAAAATCGAGGATATGCCAAGGCACGAATCCGACGTAGAACTGAAAATATCGGGTGGAAATGATGGGAGGGAGAGAGGGGGGACACGAAGACGTCGCGAAATATTTACGAGGCTCGCTACTTTGCATTGGCGAGGTCGATAACGCCGGTGATCCCGACCTGCGCGAGTATTTTCCTGCAACGGAGACGAAAATGCACGGGGGATAGTCACATGGCGCATGGTCGCGGTGCACGTACGAGCGGCGGCCGAATGGGCGTGGCCAGCCGCCGCTCCGCCAATCGATAACGATTACCTGCCCCCCACCACCTCGCCGATGCACCGTTCGACGAGGAATCCACTCTCCCCTCCCCTCTAACCTTCTTCCTCGTTCGGTCAACGATAGAAACGCGGCGAGAAAAAACTAATCGCTAATCGAGTATTTGTTGGCCGACGCTATTTGTTTATTTGTTTGTTTGTTTGTTCATTTGTTTGTTTCGCACGCATCGAACTAACTAAATTGTAAAAAATCGAAAAAGAATAGAGGGGAAATACATTCCCGTTGGAACGTACGTATGTACGATCGAATAGAAGAATTTCGAGTGGAAACTCGAGAAGTTTGTTCAGATAAATACTTAAGAGAGATTTTTAACAATAACGCAATTAATTTGCTTAAGTTTCGAGTCTAATTCTCTAAAACGCGTTTACCATCATAAATCCTATTTTTACGTATCGTTACGTGGTTAGAGAGTAAGTAATACAGTCGCACGCTTTCGTCATCGAATGGCGGTTTGGACTTTTGATGTCGCGTCGCTGTGAGCGTGAAGGTAATTAACCAACACATTCTCGCGACTTTCCACAAACAAGAGGCGAACAAAGAAGCTTACCGAGCATATTCTCGCGCAAAAATAAATAAAAAAAAAAACAATATATTTATATATATATTATCGAATCAAATTTCAAATAACTAGTACACTCGAGTGAAAACCAGAGATAAAATTGGATCGTACGAATCGCGATCTCTTTTATCGAGTCGAATCGATCGAATAAGCCGTTCCAAAAATTTTCTCTCCTCGA